TTTTTTTTTTTTTTGACTAGTTACTTTTCCGTCTTATTATCTTGAGTAATTAATTGTTTCTGTTGGTTATTAGCACATTCATTTGCTCCTGGAATTACTCTTGAGTCGTTTTCTTAGCTGGTTCTCAAACAGACAGTTTAAGATTTTGTTGTTAGTTTTGACTTTCTAGCAAATTTTGGAATTGTCGTCCTCCATTTCCCTGACTTATTTAAGTCTTGTTTTTTTTTTTTTTTTAGAAGCAGCAGTGCCTTCAGGGACACGCGGAAGGTTCGTTCAACCAGGAACGGCTAAGACAGGCGGATGAAGCTCATGGGCCGAAAAGGTTAACTTTTTGAGTTTATTCCTATTTTTTTATCTAGCTCACAGGCATTTGAAATGGCCTGGCACTCAGGGTCCAAAAGAAACCTGAAAAAACAGTATGTAGACACCAGTGAAACCGATTTTTTAAAACAGAATTTGTTGCATTTATGATTCTCTCTTGTTTTTATGTACTTCCTTGCAGTAATGAAAGCCCGTCTTCTGCACCGCCCCGTAGTGGTCGCGGGCGTGGGCGTTCATCTCTTACGGCAGACTTACCGCCAGATGAGAGAAGGGTGACTATTTTGGAAAGGAACAAAGCAGCTGCCGTGCGCTACAGGAAGAGGAAGAAGGAAGAACATGATGAAATGATATCCCGTGTCCAAACTTTAGAGCAAGAGAAAGTTACACTCTCTGTAAGTATTCATTTGCCTGTGGAAAAGTCTTGTTGAAACATGGTTGCAGGGCATATCTTTTCTCTCTCATCAGGCGGTGGCCATCGCCTTACTTAGTTTAAATTTTTATAGACTCAGAATGAAGTTCTTCGGCGTGAATTGAAAAGGGTTACCGAAGAGTTTAAGATCTATCGTGCTCAATGTGTTTGTCACTGTGGTCGAGTTAATGATACGATTCCTGGGGACTCAGCTGCCGAGATAGATACAGTACCACCACTGAGCCAGCAAACCGATCTCAATACTTACGCTCCGCAACAAATGATTTCTTCTGGTGTACAATCGGGCAAGAAAGTGACAAAGTAGCTTTTATTTCAGTTGTAGCACATCGAATCTCTGATTTTTGGATTATTTTTCTCAAAAGGCGGGTCTTAAAATACTGAATTTTGGCATAAATTGGGACTGGCTTTCTTTATCAAATATAATGTTTCTGGGGACGGTGAAACCGCTTTGGAATCGATTTTGCTCAATGAAATTATGATTATTTAGTGTGTCATTATTATTTGCAGTTAAAATTTCCTCAGCTTGTAATATTTAATGTACGGAAAGTAGGTATATTATGTATATTTGTTAAACTGTCGTCGAATTGCTTCTCCTACAATATTTGGTGGTTTACACGTTGAAGAAAGGGTTTTCGTTGTAAGGCTTTTGACAAGGGGCTTTAAGGTTCTCATCATATTAGAAATTTGATGTATTCTGATTATGTATTTTTGTTTCTGGAGAAGTACGCTCTTCGCAAAAGATTGTTTTTGCCTGGAGTGCATGTTATTATCTTACTGCACAAAAATCTTGCCCTTTTTTTTGACTGTGTAACCGTGTTTCCATTGGACCTACTTTATTGTATTCTAATACACTTCTTTTGCTGTTTATTGTGATGCTTCCTCATATTTGTTTAACTCATTCATTGTAATTAACTGGCAAATTGTTCCCGTTTGTTATGTTGTCATTGTATCGGCCTAAGGGAGTTCAACAGGGGTTCCCTTGATTTGTTAGAAATTGGGGTTGATTTTTTTTTTGGCCATATTTCAAGTTATGAAACTAGCATTAACCTTATTTTTTTAAATTTATTCAAAATTGCTGCGCACAGTTGAGCGTTTTTACCGGCTTCTAATTAAATAATCTCAGGTAAAGTTGGCGGTAGTTCCAGTAATAGCTTTTTGAGCTTTTTATTTGTTACTTTTGTGCAAGTAAACTTCAGTTGTGTAACCACGTATGGTAGTTGATTAGTTTAATGCTTAGGTTAGTAACCCGGTCTAACAACTGATCATCATTCATTTGGTAATAAATCTCTATGATTTGTGACAGGTTGTAGAATGTAGCAGTAACAGTAACATTTGCAGAAGTTCAAAGCAAGAAGGACATTGGCAAAAAAAGGTTATGAGGCGTTGATTAAGAGCAAATGTGCACGGCCAATTATAAACGCCTTGTTTTTTTGGCACCGCGATAGGGCGTGGTCACTGGGGGGTGTCGCTGGACAATCTACTTCCAGGCACGTTAAGCACTGGCTGCCCCTCGACGCGACAATGATACTGTGCAAGAAGATGACAGTGCCTAGAGGCTTCACTAAAGAACTACTGGAGCTTTCAGAGGGTAGCATATTTTAGGACAAGTTCTGTCTTAAGATTTTGCTGGCTTTTCAGGTCCCACAGTTGAGGTTTCTGGGGCATCACCCGTCGAAGATGGGCGTGCATCATTTAGGAAATTGGCGGCCTCCACATGTTAACCTGCACTTCTGAGTGTTTCAACTAGAACCAACAATTTTTAAAGTCTAAAAACGTGCAGACGGGATTTCAAGGAAGCTTTGTTATTTTCTGCAACGGAAACTTCAAAGAAATACTACGGTCAAAGATGCTACTACTAATCTTCTTCCATTTTCTTCCTCTACAGTCACTCGGTTCCAGACCGTATCATCATGAAGCTACATAGTGATTGCATCTAAAAATACATCTACCGCTCAAAGCTCACTTTGCAGTCATCTTCTGATATTGAAACGCTTTCGAAAGCCAGAAAAAGACAAAGTACATATATTGTTAAAAGATCTGATAAAGCCCGTTGGAGCCACATGCCATTCCACTCGGAATTATAATGAGGGAAGCCCTGTAGATCAAACAAAAAACGTCTAGGTATTGAAAAGAGCAGTTTTAGAGCTTCACAATAGTAGAACTGTTATACTCTAAGACCTGAAAAACAAGGAACAGCTACACAACATCACTTCAGAAAACCATTTGCAGTTTTATTCCAAAGTTGAACGCAAAAACTCTAACGCTTGGAAGTCTGCAACATTTTTCTTATGAAACTACACCATGCCAAAGACAAGTGAGCTCTCTCCTTGAAAATTATAGTGAAAATTTAGACAAAAGTACTCCTTAGCGGATCAAAGTGGGCAGAAATGCACAGGCGATCAAACAGAAACAACTATCAAGAATACTCAATTCTTCAAAATAAGTGCAGCAAGAACCATCGTACCGCCTAAAAGTCCTCGACAACACAAACTGCAGGCTTTAAAGACTTCCTGCAGTTAACGGTACCAAATCCCCGTCTAAAAACGAGAAACTAACCTTTAGCCTGAAACCGGTTCCACCAGGGCATCCCACCAAATCAACCAGTTTCCAATTTATGCGGAATTTTCATAAAGAAGAAGAAAAGAAGAGCAAGTATAGGGTTCGAGAACCTACCGCATCCCGTTTGAATGCTGAAATCACCGCTTGACTTCAAAACGCTCAAGGCTTCAGGATTTGCCGCACATGTACGTCGGCCTCTGATTAAAGGAACAAAAAATACTTCTTCAGACAGCAATGGCTTTTAAGTAAAAAAAATTTCCAAAAAAATTTTTATTTCTTTTCAAATAAGTAACGTTACAGTACTTGCAAGGCAGAATGCCACAAACTAGTATATGACACCTCAATGTACAAACATCCATTACAGTAAAATAAGCACTAACCAGACCATATGTAAAATATACAACAATAAAGTGAAGGCGTTCTAAAAAAAAAGCGTTCTTTCAAAATAAGTATATAAGTGTAAGTAAATGGTAGCAGACAACATCTGAAGGGTCTAAACTTTGAAATATAATTATAAAACTGATTTTTAAAATTTGAGATTTGTTCTTTAGGAATCGCTTAGTCTGAAAGTGTTGCGCCTCATATACTGTCCTTTGAGCCTCAAGTTTTGCTGAAGTAAATGGCTCAGCAAAAACACCCCGATGACCGTTCTGGTCGTTTTTCACAATCCTCTATGACGCGGGACGTATTTTATCTAAGATTTCATATCACAGGGTCGAGAAAAAAGATCTGGAAGGTCAAGTTTCCAGTTACGCTACCTACTAGTTCAGCAAAAGGCTCAAAAAACAACATAAGAAGCACAGCTTTTCCAATATAAAAAAGGTTTCAAAGAGTGACACCAATTACCTATATATCTTTATATCTCCGGCATAGTACTTTTTAAGATATCTTCGACTAAAGCACTTTCTTCGACCTTTGTCCGCAACATTCTTAACTTTCCACTTCTTTCCTGAAACTCCATCCAGATGGTGGATACAATTAAAATAATTAAACTGAACCGTCAAAAATGAAATTATTACACCACCACCCCTTAACCTTCACTTAAACCTTCGCAAAATCACATTACCTTTACACATATCTCTTTCTACACCGGTTGCCATCGTTGAAAAGAACTATATCTTACTCTAAACAGCAACTTTCTAAACTCGAACAAGTGAATATTCGTCATTCTTTTCAGAAAGTTTAAGAACGGGTGAAAATGGAAATTAACAACTTTAAAGCCAACGCTATCCTTAAATCATTATTTGGAGGAAAAAAAGGCAAATGTAGTACTTCTAAACCCTTGTTAAGCCGAGCTCTCTTATCCAACAAGCGTTTCTCGTAGGCCAATAATGATCTACGAATGTATCCGAAGGAATCAATTTTGGGCTCGCCGATTGGACGCCAACCTGACACGGTAATATAAAGAGACTAAAACTGAGAAAGAAATAAACTGGTTAAAACCATTCACTTATACTCACCATCGCGGTTCTGACTACCATTTTCAACGTTCTGTACCAAATCCCTTAATTTCTCCAGCTTTTCTCGGACCTTAAAAAACCAAGTAAGATAAAGAAGAGCTTTAAAACCCAGAAATCAAAATCAGAGCTTCCTTTAAAAAACGCGGTAGTTACCGCTCGCTCAAACATTATCACAATGTAAGTAACCAGGTTTTTAAATTCGATGAAATTTATGACCGCAATAACTACGGTCTTTGTACCAAGACGCTTTCTAAAATGAGACTCTTCTAGCATACTATCCTAAATATTTCCAATGTCTGGATATCAGAAAAGGCAAAAAGTTTTATAAAAATCCGAACCTCGTCATTCTCTATAAGGTCATCCAATTCCTCACTCGTCTTATGCACAAAGGAAAACTGAGCTTCCTTAACAATTTCCAACAAAACTGCATCATCCAACTAAAACTTTCTTTTAAGTCAAACATCACCAAAAAAAAGAAAAAAGAAAGTCTCAAAACAAATGATTTCAGAAACTAAAACAAGTTTAAAAACTGAATAGAAATCTTTCAAACTGTATACCATACACAGCCCATGGGTCCAAAAATAAATACTTAGATTTTCTACAGATACTCAACGAAAAACCAAGACCGAATAGAAGCCCCCACACAATGCATCATCTACGTCGCATCTTTTCACGAGCACCTACATAACACTAACCACACTAGCGTAACTCGCATATCGTGAAACCCTAGACCACATCCCCTCCCAGTGCCTGAATTCTAACCGCAAACGACACACCACACCAGTTAGTCTATTAAAACGATCCATATTACTTCTCTTTCTCAAAGGTGAACAAGCATCAGATTAGTGTTTGAAAATTTTCTTCTGCCATACTTTTCTCCATCGTGCATTACCGTTCCATCATTGCGACACAGGGATTATAAATACAGAGGATCAGTTTTCTTTAGCCAAACAAAACCTCATTTAAATCCTGAACCATTATTTAGAACCTGCCGTGAAAAATCATAGGCAACACCACCAATTTAAAGAACTAAGCAGCACAAACCAGGCGTTTTTCTTCCAACCGCTTCAGCAAAAAATTTATCTTCCTTTCCGCTTCTTTATTCTTTTCGGATTTCTTCTTGACAGCACTCAGACTCATCCACAAAAAAAATAATGTAAACATAGCTAAACCATGAAAAAATTTTGTGCAAAAAGTTAGACACCTTATTGCTTGTTCTTGAACTGTTAGAACTCACTCTAACAGCAGTAAAGAATTAGAAATATTATGAAACAGAATTTCACTTTTGCACAAAAATTACAAAGCTTTTGTGCGGGCTTTCCACCATCTTTCAAATGCTTTCGTCTTAATTTTGTAGCTCCACAGACTATAAATCATGAGACGCAACCTCCTTAAGATTTCAAAGCTAATTTTTGCCGTTTACATTACAAATTTTGCAAGTGTCTCACCCGTCTTACGTGGATTAACCTCTCTGTATTCACCATGTCCACGCACTTTACCTGTCTTTAACAATACTAAAGCAAATGAGAGGAAGAAAACGCCAGCCGTTTCTTAAACCCCCATCCTTTGCTTTTTGCTGCGTTATTTCCTTTTGCAAGCGCTAACTTCCCTTAAAACCGCCAATGTAGTACAAATCAGGTCACTGCAAAGCTTAGCAGCAATAAGATTATTCTCACGGTCAATTAAATTGATAAGAATATATTAAAGACAGCTGCGCAAATGCCAGCAAAAATGAAAAACGCCCTCTTCATCAAAAATACTGAATAATGCACTGTTTATAAAGCAGTTGAAGAGTGACAAAGTGGAAAACGATATCTATAAAAGGGAAGGCCTTCGTCTCATAAGGTCCAGAACAAGGGTTTGTAGAGCAATTATCAATTAAATCCGCAACTTCCTCTCGTAGCGCTGACAGAAGAAGTAATATTATTATTTAAACCACCCTGGAACAACTTGAGAAACCCCAGGATATGAGAAACAAAAATAACCTAACGCTTTCAAAGCACTTTAGTCTTAGCAACAAAATGCGACCAGTAAAACAGAATGGAAAACGCCAAGTTTCATTAGCACGCTTGATAGTCTACTCAAGAAATACTCAAGAAATACAATAATTTTTTTGATTCAGGCATATGTGACTTCCGTCTTGAATAAGCTAAAAACATCTCATACTGACCATTAATCACTGTATGCATAAAGCACAAAAGTAGTTGTCACAAATAAATGCAATAAGGAAACATATACAACGACTGGAGCACCTACTTTCAAACTAGTTTCTCTTTGAATTAGCCTTTTCATACCTTCGTAAGTAAGCGTTCTTTCACTTAGCTTTTTTACCGTTGCCTCTAAAGCTATCTGCAGAGTGCTGATTGAAGTCATTTTTTCTATTGGTGACTACACACTCCAAAGCAAGATGGACTGTTTACAACGCTAAGAGCATCCAGTTCTGAAGAATTAAACGGAGTTGAGGTCAACATTATTTTACACTTTTCCTTCTAAATTCTCGATATGGAAAATGAAGTTGCATGCAACGGACTCTCACGGTAGACCAGAAAAAAAGCAGCACAGAATATCTTGAATCAAAAGATAAGGATCCAAGAAGAAAAAAGTTAATAAACAAT